TGGTCTATCTTTACTGGTACGTAACAAGAGCAACTCCCGTTTCAGGACGAAGCAATGTAAGTTACCCCCCTTTATTGGACTTCTGCACTACACACGGTTACCAAGGTTACCATGGATAGCTTAATCTGGATTTTTACGCTAGAAAAATAAGTAAAGGTTACATCCTTATTCAAAAGTTCAAATGAGTCAGATTTAGAAAGATAATTAATAAAAAACCCATGATAAAAACTCTCATCGATGCATACATGTAAACAGAGGTTATCCTGAAGGTTACAAAAACCTAGTTATCTCCCCTCAGAACTCCTTCAGATATGGAGAAGCACTGTACAAGAAGTATTTTTCATCAAGGACCATAAACATGTTGTAGTGAATCAGATCAGAAGAGGCATACCAACATTTGACTTTTTGGCAAGAATTACCAGAAATATCACAGTTGAATGAATGTTGAGTGACTCAATAATCAATATAAAGATAAATCCTTAGATGTTTTTTTTCTGAAAATCTTTTATACTTTCTAAACTACATCTACAGCTTTTCTGTACATATGATTGTATATGTATGTGTTAAAGCAGTCTACATACCTCAAAAAAAAGACAAAGTTGTTAACTATTGCCTTGATAGCCAGGTGTTATTACTCATGCTGTCATTCAGATAAGCTGATTTCAAATACACAGGAACATGTAAATGGATATACAGAAATGTTTCACTAAACTGTTCCCCCTATCTGCCAAATTCTTTTTAATCAACTTGTGTGCAATATTTGTTGGAGTTACTACCGTATTGGTGGAATTGAACATTCAAAATTGTTTAAGCCTTAGAAAAAAAAAGAAGTATGGAATTTGTGCAAGAAAAAATTGTTTTGGCTGAATGAGTGGTGTCTAGTAGATCTACAGTCAGTGATTACAAAACTGTCCGCACAAAGTATAAAAATTAACTGCCAAGGACTCTATTAAAATACTTTCTAAAACAGGATATGTACAACACAAATGATATATCTGAGTCACAAGTAAATTAAAAAAGACATAATGTAAGAAAGGTGTTACTATATTTAAGGTGTTTTTCTCCACTGGCACTGAAATCAACACAAAGACAAATTTTATATATAAATATAAAACAGGAAACAACTCAAACTTTTCTGTAAATTAAACAATTTTGAGAAAAGAAAAAAAAACCAAGCAAGTTTTAAAAGGAAGAAGATCAAATAAGATACACTTATCAGCATAGAGATATCTGTTGAAAAATAAAATCTTCATAAACCAAAAGAAGAAAAATAATTTGAGTACCAAAAAACTGCCTGATATATTAGAATTTACACACTGTAGGTCATAATAACTAATAGTGTATCAAAGCTTTTCTATACAAATTGCATTGTATTATTTTTTCCATGTATAGAGTAAAACTTTGCACCAAACTTGGATTATAACAGGCACCATAACTAGGACTGTCTTGCTATCCTTACTGCACCTGTGTATGAACCAATGCAAACAACACACTACAAATGATGAACCATGTGACAAAATCAATTCCTACTGGATTAAACATGCCAGCAATTTAAATAAAGTCTGACTGGTTTATATATACTGTATTCAAATGATCAGGTGTAATAAAACAATGGCTGGCTGATATCATTATATATAGGTATATACTGCTATACTAGGTAATGGGTTAAAATTTCTGGTACAGAACAATATTATCAACAAAACCATTACAGAGTGTGAACAGAATTAGACTTCTGTCCTTTCTAATCAACATCTCACTTTTTATAAGGTATTACTTTTTCATGAATTTTGAAAGGGGTTATGTTGACCTCAACCTTAAGAAACTTGAAATCTGATCAGAGTAACTGAGGATACAAAACCTGACAGATATGGGTAACAGTCTGTACCACTCACTTCCTGATACACACTGAGGCAGAAATTGTGTTAAAAACCTGTCGGGATCCATGTTTTCGACACTACAGTTAATCAACAACATACATAAACCAATCAACTGTTTAAATTGTAAAACAATGCAATGATTGTCTACTTATTAGAACATAAATGTTGAGTACATGAAAAAATGCCCTATATGTGCACGAGTATGTAAATATATATTTATTTATATATAAGACAGAGCAAATGGAAACCACATTTAACAATAATATAATCATCAGAATAAATAATATTAACGGATTTGTCACTACATTTGAACAATCCCACATACATGCTTAGGGACATGTAAATAAACTCATTGACCTTAGAAAGGTTCATTTTAAGTCAGTTTTAATTTACAGAAAAAAAAATGTTCCAATGTTTAAAATAAATCTTTAAACAAATACTTTATACATAAAGAAGACATCTTTGAAGTAGTTAGATAAACCTGGGAGGAATTTTTTATGATTCAACCAATTCTTACTGATCTGCGATATTCTCTTGTGATGACACAATAGATCTCATCATTAGCCAAGGGTTCACAGTTATTTATATCTGTGGTTTATCAAGATACTTCATTCTTTGTGACAAAACCAATACTCAAGTCATTGAACACAACTTCCATGTAAATAAATCATGAATATGGAAATTGAATTCAATTGGATATCAATTTACCTACGATAAGTGTTATAATACAGGGTCCTAGATGCCCGTAGTATATGTACAAGTAAGCACATATACTGCTAAACATCGCCATGAGAAAAACAACCACAATATTCTACATTCTCATCAAAAGCTGTAAAAGGCAGAAAGACAGTCTTGTGTTTTCATTATTTTATCATACAGTAAACCTCCCGTCAGTTTGAATTGATGTTTAGTTCAAACATGTGATTTTTTTCCATGACAATAATTTTGTGTCTGGTGATAGTTTGAACCATTTCTAGTTCTGTTTCACTTACAATTTGAATTGTCATTTATGTCTAATGATTAAGGTATTAGCTCCATGTGGTCACTTTTCACATGACGTCAAACATGGGATATAAAAGTTCACAGTCAGCAACTGATAGTGACAAATTAACACATACATCACATCTTGCATCACACCACTTGAAACTTTACAATAACAGAGGTTAAAACATGCTACATGTACTAGCCTGTATTCAGATAAATACCATTCAGTACTGACATGACCTGTCAATGACTTTGCAGGTATAATTACATGACTCTCATAGGCAAAATGGCGGCCAATATGAAGCTATCAGTTGCAGATATAGAAATGATTCACAGTTTCTATTGCTGATTTTATTGTTGTCTTGGTCACGGATGATCTCCAACCAAGATAAAAATAAAATCTCGTATAGACAGCCAGAACCCTTTGGACGATTTCCTGCCTTGCGATACAGAGCCAAAATTGCTTCAAATTTGATATGGAAATGTCAGTTTTATATAATACCTGCTTGAATTATCCATGTGTCAGTTTTATATAATACCTGCTTGAATTATCCATGTGTCAGTTTTATATAATACCAGAGCTTGAAAATTGTCTTGCATGAAAATGTTGATATGGAAATGTCAGTTTTATATAATACCTGCTTGAATTATCCATGTGTCAGTTTTATATAATACCTGCTTGAATTATCCATGTGTCAGTTTTATATAATACCTGCTTGAATTATCCACGTGATAAAACATTTTGAATTTATTTCCATTGCATAAGCAAATGATGAAAATTGTTCATCATTTTTTTTCATTTTTAACTAAAATGAAATATTCTTCAGGCATATTTCATAAACTGCATATGAAATAGAAACTAATGTAAGATTTAAATGAATATCTCGTCTAATTTAGAATGATAACTGAATCCCATCATGATCAGTGAATATCAAAATCAACATTCAGGAGTGTCATTGTTCATTTAACTGTCTGTGCTAAGTTATGATCACCATTTATTAGTTTAAAATACATTTGAAGGCAACATTTCCTTGAAGCAATGCTGAAATTAGTATGAATATAAATTCAAACAAAAAGTGTTGATTTAAGTGTCATAACCAATTAAATATGAAGCTATTAATGCTTCTCCATATTGTTTCTCTATACCATATATGGTCATAGCTGAGCTTGTCATTAATTGATGATTGGAACAATGAATGTAGACAATTCCATAAATACATTAACAGATGTCCAAATGGTGCTGCCTGAGAGAGAGGTAATGTTTTCATTATATGAGGAAACATATTTAACAGTCAACCAATGGAAAGAGGCAAGGTCACATAACGCTCTCTCTCCATTGGTGTCTTTAGAAGCTGTACAAAAAAGAAGTCCAAAAACAGGTCAAACATGTATGAGTAACACAGCCTAAAAAATAATTCATCTTAACAGAAAGTATACCCCTAAGACTTTCACTCCAGATCCTTCATTACAGAAATATCAAAATCAAAGACACCGATTTTAGTCCAAGATTAAACGGAAGATTTTATGTTACCAATTGATTTGGTAAAATGGCATTTAATTTGTTGAAAACACCATTTTATGAGAATATGACCCTGAAATTTTACATAATGGTTTATTATTTACAATTGTCTTATCAATGGAACTTCTGAGTGTTCTAAGATCTATCATATGTCTCCTTTACTTCAATTCAAGTACCGGTATACAGCTTTATTTGTTTGGAGTCTGAATATAAGCCAATTATTTCCTAAAATATTGTAGTTCATTGCAGAAAAGACAACTATGCGCCCTGCTGCAAATCAAACCATTTAAGAAACTCATTCCAGACAATATACATCACCTTATCGCAAAAAAAATCAACACAAATCCCCAGTAATGTAGTAGCACCAAGTATAAAATGGAACATATATAAACACATCTATAATATACCTTTTTCTGTAAAGAGAGACTTGTGTTGGTATTACCTCTTCCTGTTTCAGTCAGTCCGAAAACCATTCTGATTTTCTAAGAACAATTCTATCCAATGGTTCAAACTTTTGATGTAACGCACAACACCTTCAGACAAAAGTCTTCAAGTACAGATCTATAGTAACTATTCTGTGATATCATTTATCTATTATCAGATTTTTACCCATTAATACATGTCCAATGTCAACACTGCACCATACCTGATACAGTACACACTTTAATCACCATCAGTCGTCCTCAATTTCAATGATGTCATCACACTGATTGTCCGGAGATTCCTCACGCCCCACGGTCAGTGGTGTCAAAGATGGGCCACTTTGTGAGCCCATTCGTACTGCACCTTCACGAGATTGGTGAACATCTGAACACGAAGCATTGTTGTTCTTACGACACGATGTACAATTGATAACTTCATCAAAGCTCTTACTGAAGTAATAGGAGAGTTTTGCATAGAAGAAGGGCCGAAGAGCCAAGTCAAGCACGGCCAAAATGTCACAATATTCGTAGATGTTTCCCCAGAGATGGTAGTTATCAGACCCGTTGTTGGGATAGTCATTGAGCATGTCATCGGAGGAAAGAGTGTCTGTACTGTTCAAAGACAAGTCCAAGTCCAATTTAAGATTACTGAAAGAGGTCAGTACCATACGAGACTGATAAAAGACAATAAAACTCACGATCTCATGTGGCAACTTGCATATGCCAAAGCTCACTATCAGCAATGTCACCATACGAGAAAGGCGTCTTTCTCTGTGAGAGTAACTGTCTGCGAAAAACCTCTGTGTAAAGTACCAAGTTACAATGTACACTATCACAATCACCAGGAGGGGCAGAGCATACGAAAACGCAACTTTTAAATAACTATTTCTCTCAGTCTCTGCATTTAATGAGGCGCTGCGCAAACACCCGTAATCATCGTCCTTCACAATCGCCTTTACATTTGGGATGTTGGCAAGTATTGTAAGTACCCATATGACAAGACTGCTGATGAATGCATGGACAACATAAGATTTTGAATAATGCGCACGGTCTGTGAGCATGATGCAACGAATAATACTGAGCGCGACAAGATGGCAGGAAGCCACGTATGTGCATGTTTCTACGAGGTAGAAAATGGACTGGCACCATTCTGATGTGATCACATCACCCTTGTGTGTCCAGCGGATCACATTCTGCAGGATCTCGGGTGTGATTTTGAGGAGGTCTGCCACAGACAGTCCACCTATCATGACGTAAAGATGAATTTTCGGGTATTTGAAGAAGATTAAAGTTCGAATCACTAACATGTTGCCCACAATGCATACCACTCCAATGAGACTCAAGAGGACACATTTTATGAGAACTTCAACATTAATCTCCAAGCCTGTGTCGTTTTCTTCAACCTCGTCCATCATGTTGGTCTTGTCACATCATCTGTAACAAAATATATTTTTGAATTAAAAAAAATGTGTATGGTCATACCAATAGCTGTCTCTACATGTATTGAAACAGATAATGACCAAAAAAGGAATAGATCAGAGTAACAAGAAAAGGAAAACGGAGAGAAGATTTCTGAAACCTTAACTATGTAAGCAGATTTTCATACCTGTACCCTACTGTAGAGATTCTCAGGCCGAGTTCCTTATTTTTTTTTATTTAATAATATCAAGTCACTCAAAATATCATCCCCATTGTAATTTTCCTAGAGAGTAACTATACAGCACCATTTACCATGGGACCTGGGAGTTATGGTGTTTACAAAACCACAAATTTTAACAAACCATCTTAGGACCTTAACATCCATGGAGAGTATGTTTTCTTTAATTTTGTAGTTTCTCAGTTAGGAGAAAAAATTTGAAATAAAAAACAAATTTTTCCTCCTTTGACCTCATCCCACAGACAATTTTGTCACTGTCTAGACATTTACCATGGACAGAACAACTCTACAAAAAATGGTTTGATAAGCATAATCTGGTCATCTAAGACTTATTTCAATTTTTTTTTCATATAGAGACTGAGTGAAAGTAGCTTGTTTCCATCTTCAGAGCTGAACATGAGCTTAACTGCAACAGTGAAATGCGACAATGAAGCCGGCTTGCCTACATGTAGTCAATCTCTGTTAGGGATCACGATCAATATATAGATTAAAATCTACACACGCTGGTTATATACTGATCTGTTAAGCTGATCTCCTAAACAGTCATGTATATTACACTTGGAACTAGAACTGCCCTGGCATAGATTTCCTTTATATTTTGTACTTTTATGTTGACGACATCTGTAAGTTTGATGCTCTTAAACCACCAACCTATAATTGCTGCTGTCTGGAGTATCGGTTTTTTCCTCTTCTTTTGTTTTAAATTGTCATAACCTAATGGATCATGTTTAACACACTCACACACAATCTGAACAAGGTTTCCTTTTTTGACCAGATACACATTTCAGAGCCAGTTTCTCATCATACCTACCCCCTGAACGGCACCCTGGTACTTGTGACAGTTCTAGCTGTTTCTACACAATTATATTGGTATTGAAACAGTGTTTTTACGGATTTAAAAAAGACAATACTCACATATTTGTAGCCTTTCTCAAGTTTTGCATGTGTGTAATCTGTGTCTACTTCAAAGATTATAAACTGTTTACAGAAGTCATTGACAACAACTTATATTAATATGCTCGACTCCAATAGAAAAGGAACTTTATATAACCAATACGCCAACATTGAAATGGTTTTGATTAATGAAAGGTTTACTTGTGGTGACAGAGTTGTCTATTTCAGGGATACACTGGAAATACGAGTCGAGGGGAAGCTATAGATACATCGATATTGCTACACGATGTAAAATTTATGGAAAACATATGTTTCAAGTCTCATCAACTTGTTTCTTTTGTATAAAATTTCTTCCATTCTCAGTTTTATTACATAGAAGCTGCATCAAAAATTTTATGGAACAGCTGATTCTAACTGAATTACAGGTGTGAGAATGTTTGATATCAAATTTATATAATAAGACCTTGAAAACAGAACTTCAAGTCCCTTATAAATGATGACAACAAGTGTACAATAAATAGATGGTCTTTGGGCCTAGTGGGATATTGGTGACTGTCAACAACATATTATTTATAATATCAGCGATTTTATAGGATTTCATCCGGATCTAATCCATCATTGACATTAAGATACAATGATATCATAGATTCAGCAGCACTCCTTAAAATATCAAATTAAGACCATGGAGCTATAAACAGCTATCGTGAAAAAAATATTAAAGATGTTTTTTAAGGGAAATCATGGTGAAAACATGTTTATTAGAAATTGTATAAACATATCCTTTAACACCCACATTCATGACCTGGTATTTGACCACTCCAATTGTTTTGGAAAGCTCATACAGTTGTGCTCATATGATAACATATCACATAACAAATTTCAAAATGAGGCAGTCATGTTTGTAAATAATGGCAGAAACATCTGGCATTGACACCTGTGATATACACTGGAATAACAAGTTTTTTTTCTGATATACAAATATATTATTTGTTTCTCCAGGCAACAAGAAATTGTACTATAGAAAAATCCCACCACTGAAAACAGAGAACACATTTCACCATGTAAAATTGGCCGATGAAAAAATTTGATACCAAATTTTCACTAAGTACACTGGTGAAAGATGAAATATTAGCCACACTAGACATAATGTATTTGTTTAACTGAAATCTTAAATATCTTCTTTTTATCACTGTAACATTATCTTAATGGTGAACGTAGAAAACAGGTTTATTAACTTCTAAATCATGAACAATTGAGAATGAAAGAGGTCTGGAGAGAGGAACGTGTGATGAAGACAAGACTCATGGTAATGAATATAAACTACAGAAATATTGAATGTTTGTTACATACTTAATGAAAGAGTCTTATTTCATGCTGTGCTACAGGCTAAACCTTTCTTTACAATGGAGAATTCTGATATCCAGTTATGCTTAGATAACAATTTCTCCCATAATTCTTGTGAATTAATAAAATCCTTTCTTCCTTTACTCCATATATCTTTTGTTTTTGTTTTATTTGATTAAGTCCAATTTTTACAGAAAACAGGATTTTTTCTGAATGTGATATTGGTGTTTCCAAATATCCTTTAACTGAGTATTTCGTTTATTTGTCTTAACTGGACTGCGTTTTAACATGACCTGCCAACATTCGAGAGAGACCCTATAAAACTGTGGAATACGATTTAATGCTAATGATTTTGTAGTACTACATTTACATAAAAAGAGCTCTGTGAGAAGGTAGAATAATATATTTTAAGCAAATATTTCCCTAATGCATTCCAACACTGAACTTCTGAATGAATTATGTTGTATGTATTTTTGATACATTGAAATATTTCCATTAAATCAAGATCAATCATGTTTAACCCTCCAAGATTAATGTCTCTATAACAGCTTTCTTTAGCAACTTTATTTACATTAGCGTTCCATAGAAACTGGTAAATCCTTGTATTTATGGTAATTTTATATTTCTGTGGTATAGTTGTCTGAGATATATCATAATTAATTATAGAAAGTATTAATGACTTTATTATCCTCTACGTGTAAGATTTCGATTTTTCCAGCTTTGCATGGTTGCTTCAATCTTTTTTTATCTTTTTCTCCCAAATTTCATCAATGTTTATTCCAAAACCATGCATTATTCCAAGAACCTTAACCCTTTCTACCCAACAAATTTCCTTAAAGTTAGGAGGCCTTTGTTTCCATGTTCCTATGTACATACCTTTAGTTTTTTTCTTATTTATTTTGGCACCAGATGCTTTTTGATATTGGTGTAAAACGCTAAAAATTATTGGAATAGAATTTTCATTCCCAGCAAATAGCTGCGAATCATCAGCAAACATATTAATTTTGGCTTCAAATTTTTCCTTGTTACTAAATGGTATCTTAATTCCTTTTGTTGAAGCATTTTTCCTAATAGAACATGTCATGAGTTCTGCTTGAATAATATAAATTAAAGGTGCTATTGGGCACCCCTGTTTTACTGAACGAGAAAACTTGAAGGGTTTTGAAATGAAACCATTTGTAAGTATATGACCAGACGAATGTATGTATAAAATGAGCTTTATAATTTTGATTTATCTCAAATGGCCGATAACCAAATTTAAGAACTTGACAGAGCAGTTCTTTAGTAACCTTAGTAACCAGTAGATAACCTTATCTATTAAAAAATAAAACATTTTGCAATGTGATGAAGTGGACAAATATCAATGTACATGTTAGGGTTTGTTTGTTAAAAAGACATGTGATGATGATATTATACAGTCTATTGTAACCATGAACTTTAGTGCCAACTTACATGTACCACTGTTACGCCCGCATAATCACTATATTGTTTGTACGATGATGATTGAGATATTATTCCTATATTAACCCTTTCTTTATTACAGCATTATACTGATCCATCAATAATCCGTCCACATTGTTTTATAACAGGATCATAGCTGGAGTTTTATATCAGTAATTTAAGGATTTGTATGTAGATTTAATCATTAATGAATACACTAAACAGCCCAGGATAAGTAATATTTGTGTCTCCACAATATCCAACAATCACATTTTAGTTGTATGTGTCAAGCACACCAGGGCTGATTAACTGTACTCAGTCAAAATATTACATATAGTTTAACACTTCAATTAGAACTGTGTCGCCTTTAGTTTAGAGGCAAACTATTTATCAAATCATGGTCTTATCGATATAGACAGCTGGTGTGAATCCTGTATCATATATTAAAACACTTTATTGTACAATATATTCTGCATAGATATCATATCAATATCATTGTGAAACATTACCCTGTGAAACATGTTGACAATTCTTATTTATTGGAATAATATGACTAGTACAGCATGTCATACAATAGATGTCATTCAAGATGACTTGTGTTGCTATTTATAGAATAAAATCTAGAAATTATTCCATGAATCATCATAAACACCAAAATATGTCACACTGAAAGTCCAGGTATCATGTCCTTATGGTATTTTAAAGACCATGTACCTATATATCATCATGTATGTACATACATTTATATGTACCTATATATAATCATGTTATGTACATACATATATATGTACCTATATATAATCATGTATGTACATACATATATATGTACCTATATATCATCATGTTATGTACATACATATATATGTACCTATATATAATCATGTATGTACATACATATATATGTACCTATATATAATCATGTTATGTACATACATATATATGTACCTATATATAATCATGTTATGTACATACATATATATGTACCTATATATAATCATGTATGTACATACATATATATGTACCTATATATAATCATGTTATGTACATACATATATATGTACCTATATATAATCATGTATGTACATACATATATATGTAC